TTCATACACTGACGTGAGCTACTGTGCGTCTGACACAGCTGCAGCAGCTATCACAGCTAGATGAGATAGTAAGGAGTGATAAATGATGTCCGAAAGTCTTCGTAGACATTCGTCTCTAACGTAATACAGCTTAAGAAAAAGTAGAAAAAACTTACACTGTCAGTACGACAAGTACTAAGCAAGGTCCAATAAGCATTATTATCGGCTCTTTCACCCCTCCATGCAGAAAATAGATTCAAACGATCCTGAATCGTAACACCATCACTACATCCCACATTCCAAGGAGCTGAAGCGGCTGCAGTAGCAGGACACGCGGCGTCGCTGACGGTAAGGTTTTGCAAACCTAGCGTAATGTTAAAACTATCCTCATATTGTGCAGAGGCAGCGTTGATAATTTGAATTACGTTCTCTCGAGCCGTTTCGGTTGAGTTAAAAGCAGCCGTATATGTGCAATCGGTTGCTATTCCCACAAGAGCTACTTTTCGTGTAGAAGGACATCCAGCTGAGGATCCAATAGTTGTGGTAAGATTAACTCCTGCAGAATTACCACCTGATTGCGTATCGATTTGTCGTCCGAATATGGCTCGTGTAGAAATTGACCCCCAGAACCCCTCTTCTCGTTTAGCCATTGGCTCAAAGTTGTTGATCGGATTATTCATCGAGTTGAAATTTAATCCATCCGCTGAACATGAAGGATCCTCCCGTACGCTTCTTCTCAATTCGGGGTGCATGAGTCCATCAAAATCTTCTGTATAACCACTCCCAATATCCGAATCCCTCCATACAACCATATATTCCTTCTCTTCATCCGGTAACGATGGATCTAATTCATGTCTCGTAGAAACAAAACTTGTCTTCGTTTGAATATGATGATGATCACCATCTACTCGAAATGCACCTTCAAATAGAGGTTCATCCCCATCCTTTTTGACCATTATCCCTAGCCCATCCAACATTGGTCCATTCCGCACCTTCATAATGTTGTAGCCATGTCGAGCCCTTAAACACACGATGCGCCGACCTATCGATAGTTTCCGAAGTCCTTACTGATCCATCCGGTGCCAAATACTGTATGGTTGCTCCATTCGCAATAACATCATGATTAGGTTTCATCGACAACTTCACCCGTTGTTTACCCTCATGTAATCCGAACTCGACATCAAAACTTGACAAAGCATGTACTCGATGTGATGGTGTTCTGATATTCGGAGTATCGACCAATGAAATATATGTTAAAGGGTTCCTTTCGTTAGAGTGTGCTTTAAGGTTAATGGATTAGCTTTTGATAATCTCCATATTTAAGGCTGTTGGCTCATGGGGAGAAGTTGGCATGTGTTTTTTCTTTCCTTCAAAAATCAAGAATATTTCAAAATGTGATAAACATACCATTTATTGAATCTGCGAATAAAGTCGTAAGTACGACTATACCCCTCAATATGTACATGATCTATAATTGTGTACAGTTGTTGTCTCGTTGTCCTGTTGTCCTCACAATCTTTCGTCGTGATGGGCTGGGGCACGGCCTGATGAGAGCACCAGCTCCCTTGTGTCAAGAGTACAGAAGTGAAAGAATGTTGTACCCTTGTTTATCTATCCCATGCGCAGTTGAAAATGTCTTCGGAAACTCCAAGTTAATTATAATATTATCCTCCTCGACCAGGTTTTAACAGAAAAAGAGCGACTCGAATATTATCGTATAGTTTTAAAAAGCGACGGTAAGTGTTTGTGGTATGAAGGTCCGTAAGGTTTGTGAATGTTTGAGGAATCTGATTGAAAAGCTGATTTGTTAAGTGGAAGCTTGAGACCGTCTAATGAATTGATGCGAATCCTTCTAGCGCAACACCTTTGATTGATTGATTTGATTCCAAGGTCCAAGAGTCGATCGATCAAATATCTTTTATTCCGATATTATATTTTCGATAATATTATATTCCTGTCGAAATTCGGAATCTGATCATCTTTATACTCCCGAGTCCGAACAGTGAGTGGCTGAGCTTTGTTTAATAAGTATTTTATGTGCTGGAAGACGGGCAGGATAATACGAGGAGACCTAACGAAATTTGGAGATGCAACATGCCATGGAACTAAATATCTTGGCTTATTATCAATCCATCAACTCACTCATAACCTAATTTATTTGCTCCGAAAGAAAGGAAGAAAGAATTAATTAATTCATGAGTGTGTTCTCCCACTTTCCGAAACATTTAACTTTTCGTCCTCCTCTGGGGAAACTCTTCTGGAATCTAGATGGTGGCGACATGATGTGGCGGAGCAATTAACCTCTGACCTCTGACCTCAATCGAAGGCGTTGCCCCTCCATACCATACAACTGGTGCACTTTCTTATCAAAGGGCAAAAGCTGGGGGTAACATCG